TTGATCAGGGAAGACCTCCTGAATCTTGACAGGTGATATCTATCAACAAAGGTAACTCCTGGTCTTCCCAGGACTTGGTCATTACCTCAACATTTTCTTAGGGACCCACAAAGATGCCTTTGCCCGCAGCCAGTAGGAAGCAGTTTAGAAAAAAACTACACCCACATTCCCAAGAGTTGTGGGGTGTGGGTGGCTTTTGGTTATTTGGTGGGTTATGGATGTTTGTTATCATTTAGAGGAATATAGAATATTGATACAAATTAAAGATATTTTTGTTATGCTGTATAAATGTTCCTACTCTTGTTTAATGGATTTTGTACATTAATTTAAGGTTATTTTTGTTACAACATATTGTATGTATGTTTCCATTTTGTTTGAGGTATTGTACCTATGCAGTTCATTTGGAAATGTAGGGTGACACTCTAGTTTTTGAAATCTATTATTATAAACTATATAGGATAATCAGGAAACACAGGTTAGTGGTTAGTCATTTATAACAATCAAATTAGCAGATATGTTAGGTATGTTTTCAGGATCATATTGAAATATACTTTAGATAGATGGTCTTAAAATACTTCGAAGACCTATAGAATATGATATTTAAAATGTTTTGTTATAATAAGGTTTTTCACAACAATGAGACACATCTGCTCCTGGCAGCACCAATTTACTTCAGAGATGATGGGCATTGAGAAACTCCTTATGGAGTTTGCTTTCATTGTGGCAAGGGTAGCCACTAGGCAAAGAAACTGTTCTTGCCTTTGATTGCTCAAAATGTGCTATGTAGACTGGACATGCAGGACACAGGAAAAATACTGTTGAACTTTGCCAAAACAAGGCAGGACAGTCCTTCAAAATTCCTGCTCCACAGAAGAAACTGCCAGACATTCTGCAGGACACAGAGGAAAGTGACTAATGAAATTTGTCAATATAGGTGGGACAGTCTTTTAAACTTCCTGCTTCACTGAAAAGTTTGCCAGATATTCTGGGTCTGTAGACTACTGAAGATGGATGCCCCAACCTTGCAGAGGAACTTTGGGTGACTGTCTAGGCAGCCAAATGTCTCTGTTGTTAGATAATATTATATCCTTCTGGGTCTATGATGGAGTTGAAGACTAGATAGTTATAGCTGCAGTTTTCCTTAGTTATGATAGAAAGTGGATTGGGTGTAAAACTTTGGAGTTATTAAGATGGATGGATGGTGGAGTGCTTTCTCTGAATTTGCTAAACATAAATGAACTGAATATTGTAAATTAATTCTTACTTGATAACTGTTTTTGTTGTATGTAGTTATACTATGTTAAAGTTAAAACCTTTTTTTATTTAGACAAAAAAAGGGAATATTGTGGAATATTATTTTAAGGTGTGTTACTTTTATGTTACATTTGTTTAACTCTGTGAAGCTGTGTTACTGTGCCTGTCTGAAACACCTGATGGTCTAATAAAGAGCTAAATGTCCAATAGCAAGGCAGAAGGAAGTAAAGGCAGGGTTGGCAGGCAGAGCTGATATACAGAATCTGAAATCTAGGGGAAAAAGAAGTAGCCAGAGAAAGGTAAAAGCCTGTGGTAAAAGCTAGATGGAATAATTTAAAGTTAAGGAAAGCTGGCTAGCAACAAGCCAAGCTAAGGCTGGGCATTTATACTTAAGAATAAGCCTCTGTGTGTTATTTTTTGGGAGCTGGGAGGCAGGCCCTGAAAAGAGAAAGAGTAAAAACAACCAACAACAGTTTTCATTTTGAGATATTTCAAACAAAATAAAAAGAGTGGTCATTCAAATAAGTTAAAAGGACAAATTCTTAGATTTGACTATGGCATTTACTTCAAGTTTTCAAAAGAGACATCAGAGAAGAACTTCTAGCTGGTAGGTGACTTAAAGACAATGAAATAAATCATTATCACAGGACATTTTTTTCTTAGTAGACCAAGGTCTCTTGGCAATTCTCAGTTGTGTGGTTAGTAAGCTTATGAGTGGGACAAAAGACCAAAAAGGAAAAAAAGCATTTTCTACCCAAAGTTTTAATTTAATTAAATTTTCTACTGAAGCAAAAGCAGACCTAATTCATTTCTACCATGGGTAGAACCAAAGCACACATTAAGAAACCAAGCAGCTAATTAGATTAGTATAATAGTTGGTAATACAAGGCATAAACGCAATCTGTTTAGTAGAGAGGATGAGAGTCAGATGATAAATGATGCTGCTGGAAAAGGGTTCAGTACCTGCTTGTTAGTGTAGATGAAGACAGCAGAGAGCCCTCTTCAACACAGTGGCAGACAATATCCCATAGAGTATCATGACAAAGTTCTCTGTGCAAAAGGACTAGGCAAACTCAGCTTTGGACTGTGTTAGATTTTCAGTAAGGAGGCTAGCGGGATGGTTTTGTGAACTGAGCTGAGGGGTGCCTATTTCCAAGACAGGTGTAAACTTATCACCTTGAGCCAAAATGACTACAAGTTTTGATCACTTGAGGAAGAAGGAGAATTTTTGTGTTGAGATTTCACTAAATAATTTACAATCCTTTTTCTTGTATAGTACTGAAACAAATTATTATTTTTTTTATTTTTGATAGTGAATATTTATTCATTGAGGTCAGATTCCTTTGGGTAGATGCTAAAAATAGGGTATAATCAACATAATTGTGAAATCTTAAAAACAAGTGTTTCTTCAAAGACTCTTGTTTCAAATATTATAATTATCAAATGATATTGTTTGATTTTCCTGCCTTAAAAGCCATAACCAGAATAAAAAAAACCTGATAAAACAATCAACTGATATTTCAACTCTCAATGTATTGTTCAACTGGCATAAATATCAAGCAGAGTGGTCTAAGGCACCAGACTCAAACTCAGCTTCCTGAAATAAATTATTAAAAGGGGGCAAGCAAGCTGTACCTTGTGGTACAGGCCTCTAATCCTGGATACCTAAGAAGCAGAAGAGCCAGAGGTGGCAGAGGGCAGAGGCACCATAAGTTTGAGATCTATATAGACAATATGGTGAGTTCAAGGCCAACCTGGGCAACTTGGTGAGACCTTGTACCTCTAGCCCAAATAGTAAGAAGAGAATTGAGGATATAGCTTAGTGGTAGAATATTTGCCTAGCATGCATAAGGTCCTAGGTTAATTTCCTATATTACATACACAAACAAGTAAAATATTTTAAGTCTTCATATTCTTTTAGCTTTCCTTCTTGTGACCTTTCTTCCACCTAGCACAGGACTGTTTTGCATCAGTAAGCCACAGCTAAAAAACAAAAATATATGTAACCTGAATTTGTAATTTATGTCTACATGTTAGAGATATGTGGGACACAGTTGAAGGCCTAATAACATTTTTCATATTGTTTCTTTATCACAGACTCTCGTCAGGCAAGTTCATGATTGCTATCCCACTCATCGGTGACAACTACCAACATTGCACCTTCCTAACTTTTTGACCCATGCCTCTGATCTCTTGCCAACCATTTGCTGCTTGGCCCTAAGAACATCAAGAGTTATGTGTCCAAACTCAAGTAACCCTTAACCTTCCTGTGAACCTGTTCCTCCTATATTTCTGTTTCAGTGAGTAACACCCTTGTCCATCTTGCTGCCCAAACCTTGCCCTTCACACCTACCATCCCTTTATCTTCTTTATCAGTTCCCAACCTGAGGAGGGAACATTCACTTGTTACAAAATCTGGACTATGTCTACACTTCTTCTGCCTAACAAGATCTCCCATTGAATGATTTGTAAGCAGCCTATTTGGTCTTTCCATGTATTCCTTTCACTCAGTGTACTCTTTTAGAAGAGCAATTTCAGGTACCAAACATGATTGACTCTTATTTAAAGTACCCCAGTAGATATGATCTTCAGATAGAGTTCCAATACTACAGCAGCTAGCAGAACTTCAAGGTCTTCTCACTTGCCATACACTAGAACTACTTACTACAAGTCTCAAGAAATACTGGAGAGCTATTTTGAACTCCATTTAAGGGTTTTTGCTTTATGCATTCACCACCTAGACCAGTGATTCTCAACCTTCCTAATGCTGACCCTTTAATACAGTTCTTCATGTTGTGGTGACCCACAACCATAAAAGTATTTTGTTGCTTCTTCATAAGTGTAATTTTGTTATTGTTATGAATACTAATGTAAATATCTAATATGCAGGATATCTGATAGGGCTTGTGATCCACAGATTGAGAACTGCTGATCTAGACTCTGTCTTAGTTTGGGGCTGCTATGACAGACCATTATAGCCTGGAAAACTGAAATAGGAACATCTATTTCTAACAATTTGGGAAGTCAGGGTCTGTGAGCAGAGCTCTGGAAGACTTAGTAAGTGCCTACACATTCTCCCTCAGTCTTGCTGGCTTCACATGCTGAGGGCCAAAGAGTTCTCTTTCATAGGGACACTAATCCCCATTCACAAGTGCTTCATCCTTATAATATGACAAGGTCTCTACTTTCTAGCCCAATATGATCATCTTGCAACACACAAATGTGTGGAAGACACAATCACCCAGCTCAGACCTCTACACATGAGATCTCCAATTCCTGGCATGCTAGTCCTCCTCCCACCTGCCACCTTCCAACCACCCTACCACCCTGCAGCATCTGCTTGCCTTCCCTATTTTCTGGGTAACCTTCCAAATCCCCATGCCTGGACTTAATGCTGCCTCAGAACTCTAAGCTTTCCCAGAAAATGACAACAAGGCTGCTCTGTATTTGCACAGCTATGTGTCTATCTGCTTCCACTAAAATGATTGCCACAAAATAGGAGAAGTGTATTTGCCCTTTTATGATTATCTTCTCAGGGTTCAAGCCCAGTCTGAGTTCTCAAACAATTGTTAAATGAATGAGTAAACAAACATTTTTTTTACAAAATATCACAACCTTAAATGGCAATATATGAGATAGAAGAATGTTAGTTAATACTCAGAGTTGTCTTGGGAAAAAGTTATCTTGAAATGACTGTTCAGTGAGCTTTGGGTTTCTAAAGGAAGAAGAAATGAAAACACTCAAACCTTGACAGTTGCACCAGGGAAGAAGAGCCAGTTGCCTGTGTCCACTGGGTCAAGACTGTCTTCCAGAACGACTTGTCTGTGGGCTGCATTGATGACCAGGATGTTATCCAAGGCCCAGCAGGCTTCGTACACCTCACCTACATCCAGGCTGTCCTGCTTCCACTGGAACTGCACGTTCTCTCCTTTGGCTTCCTCAGGAAGGTAGAGGATGTGGATGATTGTGCTGAGATTGGAAGGGGCTCTGGAAAACATGGTGCGAAGAGGAGGTCACGCACAGTTAGGATCACTGCCTTACCATGAGCATGCAATGTTCACCGTAGATTAAATATAAGCCCATGGTCCAACCCTCAGTTTCTGCTGCTTGCTACAGCTTTCCTACTAAGTGGTAACAGGGCATATACTTAAGGTCTTTGAGGGTTTTATATTTGACACAAAGAAAGTACTAAGTGTGTTCAAATAAGCCAAGAAGGGAGCAAGGGCAGGGGCAGTGGCCCAGCTGCTATGATTACACAAAAAGAATGAAATCGTATCGAGAAGAGTTCCGGCACATGGTAGATGTTCTATTTAAAATCAATGGTAGATGTTCTATTTAAAAATCACTCACTTGATAAGAAAAAAGAAAAACAGAAATTAATATTGATGTTTTGAAATTATGCATTGAATAGAGGTCACTGCATATGATATGTTTAAATACATATACACACATATATACGACAGATTAGTCTTTATAATGGTTATTTTTTTAGTCATCAGATACATTTTTTACATCTAATGACTGTATTCACTTATAATTATTTACAATTGTGCCAGGCGGTGGTGGCACATGCCTTTAATCCCAGCACTCAGGAGACAGAGGCAGGCAGATCTCTGTGAGTTCGAGGCCAGCCTGGGCTACCAAGTGAGTTCCAGGAAAAGGCGCAAAGCTACACAGAGAAACCCTGTCTCGAAAAACCAAAAAAAAAAAAAAATATATTTACAATTGTATTTGGTCAATCTTTGAAAAAGATATAATTTAATAAGACCTTTATATCACATCTATTAGGATCTGTCTCTGCTATATAATAAAAGTTTTATTAATCATTTTATTCTACCAAAGTAAAAATCTGCTGCTGTAAAAATGGTCATTTTAGCTGATATTAAAAATGGTGCTAAAATGCAAACTAGTGGTAGGCTGGGCTTGCTATAAATCAGTTTGGGAAGGGCTGGAGAAAAAAAACCATATTTTTCACTCACCAGTGAAGCACATATATATCTTCAGAATTGTCACTGTGGTTATAGATGGTGTTTCTCACCTTTGGGGGTAATCAATTCAATTCTCTTTTACAATATTTCATGGTGAGTATTATTTTTTTTTAGCTTCAAAAGAATTTAAACTGATGAAGAGAATATACTTCAGCTGAAGATAGTGGTTAGAAAAAACTTTCATGCTGATCCCCAGTGGTAAGGAGGATTTGCATACATGATGAGTATGGCGGCTTGGTACACAGCCTAAAATTGAAAGTGCCATTTCACGAAAAAAAATTATTGTACTCAGCTGAATGTAATCTTCATATGTGCAATCAAATGTGTAGTTTCATCATTTATCACTTCAGAAGCATACAGCTCTTTTCCAGCAACAAACATACATTATAACTTATTTAGGTCATGATATAAGATAGTAGAAGAAAAGTTGTGGGGATATAGGTAAAATTTCTATATGTAAATTGGTTTGCTTACAGCCACTTAAATGCCTAAGTATCTAATATGAATGCATTTTCAAAATTCTACAAATTAGAAAGAAGAGCAAATGTTATCATAAAGTTGACACATCATGTTAGAGCTCAGCATACAGTAACCACCCATAAATTATATTTTATCCATTCATAGAGGAAATAATTTATTAAAATCCTAACTTAGAATTACTTTTCTCAGTTTTGTAAGATTAGAGCTTAGATATGTGGGTTTTATTTTATTTATTTATTTATTTATTTATTTATTTATTTATTTATTTATTTTGGTTTTTTGAGACAGGGTTTCTCTGTGTAGCTTTGCGTCTTTCCTGGAGCTCACTTGGTAGCCCAGGCTGGGTTTTATTTTTAATATACTCTAGAAGCCTTGTACAAATTGGTAAGTATTAAAGATTATCAACCTAATATTTCTTCTGCTTCCCTAAACAGATTATCATTCTTTTAACATAAAGAAAAGAGCTGATAGAAAACAAATGTCTCAAAACTGTTGGGAAATATTCTACTTAAATTTTTCTCCAATTGAAGAACTAACCCGGCCACCATAATCATTTTAATACAAATGTGGGGCTAAGGCCCTCAGCGCAGCAGGCAACATGCCAGTCTCATTGTTTTCTTTTGCATATTATTCCTGCAATTAATTATCCACTTTGAAGTTTATTTCATGCCTTAAACTCGATGGCAGTGATAAACACAACCGGGGACTTTTTAACACCATCAAATCTTTCCAACATCAGAGCGTTCCTTCCACCTGGAGCCTCCTACTTCATTTTCTTATTGGAGAACTCTTGAAGGAAGGAAAATACAGGATGTAAAGATGCGCTTGAGGGACATAAGAAGTTAAGTGGCAGAACTACATGAGATGCAAAAGGCCTAGTAGCTATGAACCCATATCACCGCGGAAGAAACGGATGCAGGCAGGCAGTCTCTGGACCTCCTCTCGGGTCTGTATGCCAGGCCAAAGTCAGCTCACCTCCTGCTTGCCACAGCTGGTGATGTTATGTGGTAAAAGATGCTCTCTCAAAAGTTATAGTCCCAAATGTGCTGCAACCCCAAACAGTTTGGTGTAAGGAGTACTAACAGTAGGAAGTTATGAATGGGAAGATTACATTTCTAGCGACATCTCCCTCAAGTAGGACAGGCCATAATATGTATACTCATGACTTAAGTACTTCAAAGAAAAATGTTAGGGGTGGAGGGCAGCAAGCAGAGGAATGCAGTCTACTCACAACATATAGGATGCAAATACTTTAATGGTAACAAACCTGATTTTCTCGAGTTGCATCCAGTCGGCAGAGTTGTTCTTGGCATATGACACAGTGATGCTGGGGTCGGAGTAACTAAATCTGCACGATCCTGACCCTGTAAATAAGAATACCAATGAATCTGAAGATTAAAAACAATGCAATTACAAAGGATCCTTCCTATAAATATTTAAAAATATTTGTGTTTATTCTACTACTTCTACTATGTTGAAATTTCTTGTGTTCTATTATCATAAATATGATTTAATAAATAATCTTTGAAACCAGAAGGAAGGTACAAAAGATAAATTTCAGATTTCTCTAGAGAATATGAACTATTTAAATTACATTTCAAAACAGGTCTGTGGCAAGAAATATCTAAATTTTTTTGAATGATTAATAATGCCATTATTGCTTTTGAGAGTTAATATCAATTGCTAGTGATTACTTTAAATGGTATACGAATCATTGAATTGGAGAACAGAGTCACCATTCTCTTTGTTTATGGGCTATCTAAATGATGTAACAGTATACAAGGAAATAAAATACTGTAAAAACTTTCTAGTTCTAAATGCCTAATGACTATTGGAGATGTGGTAGGTGTGACTTTATCACAGCCTAGTTCCTGATATCTAAGACAGAGGCATGACATTCCATTGTGAGTATTTGGTGCTTATTTCTCATTATTATTTTCAATATTGGAGTATGAATACCAAAGGAAGTTTTAGAACTGATGAAGAATTTGATTCTCCATTTTCAATGAGTTCATATAATGAAGAATGGTCTGAGTGTAATTTCAAAGATGTCAGAAATCCCAAAACAGCCATGAAGCATTTGCTACAAGTTTACTGTTACTAATATAGCAGATTTTTTTATATTGCAATAAAAACAAATGAACCAAAAGGAAAAGAAACAGTGCAATTTGTGTTTAACTTTCATCCATCTGCTAGAAGAGCCTCCATTTCAGCAAATAGCATCTGTTGGTGGTTTTATATTTGCAGTAGTCAGGGGTGCCAAGCTTTCGGCAGACTAATTTATTTCATTTCAGTGGTGTTTAGTACAAAACCAGTCAGTTTACAATTGCCAAAGCTGGCAATGTGCTGAAAGGCCAAACACCAGTCTTCTTAGATTTATTCTTACAGCTGAAATGTAGGTGAAAGAGGATGGAAGAAAGGAGTATCTAACAGAAAGCCACTCGGCTACCCTTATCTACTCAGAAACCCACCTTATGTCACTGTAATTGTTGCTAAATTCCACCTTTCATGAACAGCTGATTAAAATAAATATCAAACTGTGAGGCTGGAAATGGAAGCTGCCAGGATTTGTGGGACAAACTTTAGCACAAACCAGAATGAGGTCTGGCAGAGAATGGTATTTCAGGGAAATTCCAAACTAGCCTGAAGATTTAGATGCTATTTGCATGCTTCTTTTGTGTTTTGTGTGCCCTAGTGCTTAAAAGTAAATGACTGGGTGAATCCTTGAGAAAGATAGAATAATAACCCAAAAGTTACATACAGAATGCAAAATCCTGCAAATTGTTTATAAATCAAACATAGAATGTTGACACATACCAAATAGATATCCAAGGCAGCCTGATAACAATCATTATTTCTGCTGGGTTTCTTATGCTACCATTTCAATGTTTTGAGATTAAACTTATGGCATAACTATGAAACAGAGACATTTGACTCCTGACTATGGCAGGGAACTCACTTTTCCTTGCCACTGGATCCTAAAATTCTCTCCTATCTGGTAGAGGGCAAGGAATGGGGGGTGAGAACATAGGGAAATGGGAGGGTCGAGCTGGAGCAGGGACAAAGTGAGAGAGCAGGGAAGGAGATACTGTGACAGATGAGGATATCATGGGAGTGGGAAGAGGCAGGGTGCCGGGGAAGCTCTCAAGAATCCACAGGGATGACCCCACCTTGGACTGCTGGCAGTGATCAAAGGGGTGCCTGGACTGATCTACTCTGGTGACCGATCTAGTGAATACCCTAACTGTCATCATAGAGCCTTTGTCCAGTGACTGATGGAGGCGGATGCAGGGATCCACCGCAGGGCACCAGGTTGAGCTCCAGGAATCCAGTCGATGTGAGAGAGGACGGATACAGCAGGCGGGAGATGTTGAGGTAACGATGGGAAGACATGCAGAGATGACCGGCCACATGAGTGGAGGCCCATGAACTGTGGACTGGTGGCTGTGGAGCCCCCATGAGACTGGACTAGGCTCTCTGGATACGGGAGACAGTTGTTTAGCCCGAACTGTTTGGGGGACACCCAGGCAAGGGGATCGGGATCCTTCCCTGGTGCATGGGCAGGCTTTTTGGAGCCCAGTGCCTGCGATGTGGCACCTTGTGCAGCCTTGGTGGGGCAGGGAGGGGCTTGGACCTGCCTCAGCTTGGTGCGCTGGGCTCTGCTGACTCCCCATGGGAGACCTTGATTTGGGGGATGTGGGGATGTGGGGTGGCTTGGGAGGGAGGGCTGGGAGGTAAGAAGAGGGAGGAGGTGGGATCTGTGGGTGATATGTAGAGTGAGTAGAAAATTTCTTAATAAAAAAATGAAAAAAATTCTCTCCTATCTAAAATGAGTTCTTTAATCCATGTCCATGTCACCATTGTCAAGGGGTCCTCATTAGCTCTCACCAGGTTTCTGTACTTGTGATTAGCTCCCCCTTCCACTTCCAGCCTCACTGTCCTCACCAGCACTGGTGTTCTTTCTGTAAGTGAATGAGTTTTCCTGTAGTTTATAACCCCAATTCCTCAGTCCTTTCTGCAATCCTCAGCAGCATCAAGAAATCAAACAGGTACTCTGAAGAGAAGTGCATCAGGATTCTAATAGAAGGGTGGACACCTGGGAGACCACGACTTGGGTTCAGGGTACAAGTGGCCTGCCAAGGAACTGAGATGAGGACCACCAGCCAGTGGGAGCACCTTCTGAAGAAGTGTTCATCTTTGTAGAGCTGCCATACTCAGAGGCTATTCCTGAGTCACCCTTCCAAGTAGCACCAGGCCAGTGGAGGAATCCCATCCCATATCCACTCAGAATGAAGTTGCTACGCGTATAAAAACCATTCTTCACATAAACTGCTTTGAGACTGAAGTCGTCCCACCCCCATGTCTATTCTCACATAGATTTCAGTCAGTATTGTGAGATTTGTTCTTTCCCAGACTCAAGATGGTTGCTTAGCCCTGGTGTGGGAGAGAGGAGTTGGTAACTCTTCACTGCATTCTTGCATACTCTGGTGCCTAATGCTACTTCTGAACTCCTGTACCCTGACGTGATATTCAATTATTGCTTCTGCAAGCCTCATGCATCTGAAACAGGTACCTCTGTATTTCCCTTTCACATTGAAGATATCAAATTGACAAGTCTGAACTGTAAGATCAGACCATAAGTGTCAAATGCAAAATATCCTCATTTGCAGATCCATTTCTCCTACACCAGACCACTGATATTGCAATCACTCACTCTAAAATAGCAACTGTGCAAGAAATTAAAGATTGGATAATGGAAGGAAGATCACTGAAAACCATGGTAACAACTATGATCTAAGAGACAATGTTGGGTAAATTGGGTCTAAAGTTCAAAGGCTAGGCACACGCCTTTAATCCCAGTACTCAGGAAGCAGAGGCAGGTGGGTCGCTTTGAATTGGAGGCCAGCCTGGTCTATATCAAGAGTTGCAGGAGAGCCAGGGCCACATAGTGAGACCTTGACTCAGAAACAACAACAGCAGCAACAAAAGCTTCAGCATTTTCCGTGGCTCTCCTCAGCCTATAAAACAATCTGTCACTTTCATTTTTACTCACAGAGTAAAAAACTTTAGTGTCAATAAACAAAATTAATGAACTTCTCAAATTTACTGAGGATGCCACAGAACCCAAGAAATTTGGTCACCACATAGTGCTGCAGCTGGCCACCGTGCCCAGTGTTTGAGATGGGACGGCATATTTTATGTAAAGGGACTTTATTAATCCTCTGTCTAGCTGTCTCAGCTGGCAGTCCTCAATTTTAAATTGATGAAGACAAACAGCCAGCAACTGTTGTTTACACCACCACTGAGCACTCACGACTGTAGTGTAAAATGACAGACATTCTACCAGTACTTCACCTCTGATTTAGGACACATCTGCACTGCAGTGTAATACAAGTCATCTCCTTTGTGTGTGTGCTAAAAGTGCTGGATACTACCTTGAAACTGTCCAGCAAGAAGCAGCCCTTTACCCTTCATTGAGATGTTCTGAGATGGGCCACTGTCTCTTTGTATCTGTGCTACTTAAAAAAACCTCAAGCTATGTACAAGAACACTGGATTGTCTTTATAGATTCTCAGCATTTAAATTTAACATCCTGTTCTCAGATCATAGTTGATATCAATGTAGGACTTATATATTGAGACAAACAGAACATGTGATGACAATGTCTTTTTTTTTACATACAAGTCTACACATTCCACATTGCCTTATATATTCATATTTTCTGCATTTCTCTGGCTATCCTGCCTTTTTTCCCCCAACTGAGACTGTACTCTTTGCCTAGTGTTTCTCTTTACCTTGCCCGCCATCCCTACTCTCAGGTTTTGGTGACTACCATTCTATTTCCTAGTAGACCCATACCGCTTTAATCCTTTCTTTCTCTACATTTATCCCCTTAGGTTCTATTACCTACTTCTCAGGCCTTTATTAAAATCTATACCATAATGACCTAGTGTGATGGCTAGTACTCTTTGTCAATTGGACAAGCAGGATCTAGAATTACCTATCAGACAAACCTCTCGGCCTTTCTGGAAGAAATGTCTAGGTTGGATTAAGTGAAGCAGGAAGACCCACACCAAATGTGGTGGGTGACACCATTCCATGAGCTGAGGTTTCTACAGAATAAAAAGGGGGACGTGAGTGATGGAGCACCGGCATTGCATCTCTGCTCCTGATCGTGATGCACGTAACCAGCTGCCTCCCACTCCTGCCACCACGCCCTCCCTGATGGAGTGAACTGGACTTCCTTAACTTGCTTTTGTCAAGTATTATTTTCACAGCAATGAGAAAAGTAACTGATATATCTGGGTTTGTATCTCTCAAGAGATTTTTCTCTCAAGAGATACAAGGGCTACTAGCCATCTCC